TTACAGCTGCTAAAATTTTTTTCCCACATTGTAGGTTGTCTTAACATAGGTGATTTTAATGCTCATTTTGAGGTAGGGTAGCAGAAATAAAGTTAGGCAAGAAGGAGACCAAGAAATCAAAAATTTTAAAATTGTACTTTAAAAAACACCTGCAACTTCAAAATACAAGCCTGGTTTATTTACTTTTTTCTTTCTCCCTAGAAACAGCAAACCTGAGCAACTCCCTTTCAGCTGCAAACGGACCTGGCTGTTCCCTTTTACTTGTAAAAGGTCCTCTTTCACCCATGAAGGGACCACCCTTTTGGCATTTCCCACAGGAATAGCTCACTAGGTGGGCTCTCCTCTCCCACCCTCTAAGCCTAAATCTAATACTGAAACTATACATTATTGCATTCTGCAGATTTTCACCTCTCAAAACACATAAAAGACCCAGTTCCCAACTGTATCTTGGCTTATTCTTTGAGCACCTGCACTCTGCTCTCTAGTGCCTCCTCTATCTACTCTATTAAATCCTCCTCAAGCCTCTTTTACTGATGCGTCTTGAAAATTCTTTTTCCGAGGTGACAGTCAGCAAACCTGCCTACTTAATTTTTTTTTTTTTTTGGTACCTGGGATCAAACTCAGGTCCTTGCGCTTGTGCAGCAGGCAGAGAAACCACTGAGCTAAATCTCCGGGGTCCCCTGCCTACTTAATTTAAAGGGGTGCATTAAGCTCCTTTTTTAGCCTTGGGGACTTGTAGACCCAGACCCTGACAATTTCATTTTCAGTCACTTTATTGGATTAGATCCCACTCCTATGAAATGTGGGTACAGCCTCTGCTGAAACGCCAAAGAATCGTGAGACTCCAAGGCTCCCCATTTTCCTTCCCATGGTCACACTCTGAAGTGCTTTTGCTTTCCAGGGAAAGAAGGATGAGCTTTTAGTGGGAAGGACCCTGCTTCCCTCCATGGAAAACCAACTTCCACATGTTAGTTATGGCCGGTGAAGAAAGGGCTGCCATAAAGACAATCAGCTTTTCTGTAAAGTTTACAAGGGGTGATCAAAAAATATGGTGACTGTTTAAATTTTTAAAAATTATTACAGTAAAAGATACATTGCCAATAATCCCCCTGACAATACTCATTTTGAACAGACTTATTCCATCATTCTTGCCACTTTCTAAAGTTTTTCTGGAGGTCCTCTTTCATGAGAGTTTTTATCAAATGCGATAAAATTATAGTGAATGCTACTGCTGATTGTCATCCAATGGAAAGGTGGGCTTGTAAAAGTACACACATTATGGTGTGTACTCATTCACCTTTTTCACTGGATCTGGCACTGTGAGACTTCGGGTTCTTCCCCAAAGTCCAAATGACCATGAAAGGTAAACACTTTGAATCAATTCAGGACATCAAGGCAGCCAAAACAGTATAGCTAAAGACTCTCCCAAAAGACACTTCCAGTACTGCTTCAGAAAGTTCCAAGAATGATAGGTGTGTTTGAAGTGGGTTGTGAGGGGGATTATTGGCAATGTGACTTATACTGTAAGAAATTTTCAAAAATTTCAACACATTGTATTCTTTGATCCCACTTCATATAGGCATTCGACCCTTGCAGATTACATAATACAGTGACACTATGATGCCGTTTCTACGGAGAAGCACAATACTACATTTTCAAGGTGACAGTGTAAGGCAAAATTATCACCAAGGTCAGAAGTGAATTTGTTACCCCAGGCCTGGTGGGAGGCTTCTTGGCAGGCTCTCTGAAAAATCCAAAATGCTAAGGGCATACAGTTAACAGCAACCCCAGAGCCAGCCAGTTATGGGAAACCCCGGTCAGAACAAACCTACCGTGCTGTCCTTGGGAACTTTCATCTTCCATACGCCACCCTTTGCATTACTCTCCTCTTCCCTGTATCAAAGACCAATGTTTAAAGTTATACTCAATGACTAACTAGTTCTGGATACACTTAGATTAAGCCTTTCCACATACAGTTAGCTTAATAATAAATAACCTTGAAAACAAAAACAACCAGGCATTTTTCAGTAATTCCCCTCACCCCATCCTCTGACTAGAAACAGAAGCAGATGAAAGAAAAAGGAAGAGGATAGAGATGGGGATAGAAGAAAACAGTGATGAGGGCAGGGAGGGTGACAGGTCAGGACATAAGGTCCTTATTCTCAAACAGATGGTGTGCAGAGGCTCACTGCACTTTCTGGAGATAGACAACGTAACTGCTTCTTGGGTGTGAAGACTTTTACATTTCAAATCATGTTCATGACACCATCTCTATTAACCAGCGTCCCTGTGGTGGACAGCTGGTCTGTTTCCCTGCTTCATATCTGCTCCTAAGCACCTGAGCTTCCCTTTAGGGAGCCAGTTGCCTTCTGCTTGTATGTGAGACCCACTCAAATAAAGATGAGTGTTGAGTCCACATCCTAGCTTTAAAGTCAAACTATGATGCAGGTTTTCCTAACAGAATCCTGCTCTTCCTAGTCTTCATGATTGGCTGGGGTGGAATGGTGACCCACAGTCAGCCCATGACAATCAGCCCATGACAGCCGGCCCTGAGATTTTATTGTGGCTGGTGAATGGTGACACTGGAAACTCCAAGGGTGTGAGACTGGAGCCTATGACGGCCACTGGCCACCACAAATGGGAGAACCTGCCTAAAAATTTAGCCAGCACAGAGGAAGGAGGAGGGTGTCAGAGTCCTGATAACATCTGCCACCCAGATGTGCGGGTCATCAGCCTCAGCGGATTTCCGTTATGGGCTCCAAAATATTCTGGTCTTTGCTCACTTTTGGTTTCTGTCACTTAGTATTAAATGAGATGAGATACACTTCCATTTTATTTTTTTTTTATTTTATTTTTTCCAGTATGGGGGTTGATAAACTCAGGACCTTACCCTCACCAGGCAGGCGTGGTGCCACTGAGCTACATCCCCGGCCCTGTACTTCCATTTTATTAGAGTAAATGACTCAGAAAGGTTGAAGGATGTGATATAAAGATGACTAATTTAGGGGCCAGGGATGTAGCTCAGTGGTTCCAGCACCTGCCTCACAAGTGCAAGGTCCCAAGTTCGATCTCCGGTACCCGCCCCCCCCGCAAAAAAGATTACTAATATTTAGACTCCAGCCTGGGCAACTTACTGTCCAGTGCCATCACCACTACACTACACCACATCAAGCTATCAAAGAGGAAGGACACCTTCGTGTAGGCCTCAGCCCCTGGCAATTATGGCAGATACGCTGTGGGTTCACAGAGAGATATCTACAAGTGAAAAGATCTACAAGTGAAAAGATCTCTGGTGAGGTTCACAACCTTGTCCCTCCCATCTTTACCTCACGTTACCCGTCAGACACTTACCAAAGTGGTCGCCTCTCTCCTCTCATTAAATGGTAACTACATCTCAAAGGCAGGCTAGTCACAGGAGGGATATTATTGTACACACTCCAGAATATCTTTAAAGGAAAAACATTTCATTTAATATACTTGATACTTATTTACTATACCAGTAGATAACATAAATTTATTAAAGAAAAATTTGATTCTCATTAAGTTCTATCCATCCAAAATATATTTTTCTCAGTATTTCTTCTAACTTTCTGCTAGAAAATATAACATTATAGAATGTTCCTTACTGATGGTGGGACAACCAAGTTCTATCTTCTTTTAGAGAGCTATGGTTATTAAGCATATATTCTTATTCAATATGTGTACACATAAAACTGTAAAACGCTGGGTGTGGTGGCATGAACCTATAATCCCTGCACTCTGGGAGGGTGAGGTACGTGGATTGCAAGTTTGAGCCCAGCTTGGGCAGCTTAGAGACTTAGCAAGACCTATCCCAAAATAAATAATAAAAAGGGGCTGGAGACATAGCTCAGTGCAAAGACTCTGGTTCAATCCCCAAACCAAAAAACAAAACAAAACAAACAAACCTGGAAAGATGAAGTACAATGCCTGGACTAAAATTTGGAAAATCACATTGCATTATGGATTTTTGTTAAATAATCAGATTATAGCTGCTCTTGTCACAAAAATGTAACCATGTGAGATGACAGATGTGTTAATCTGCTTCACCACAGTAACTATTTTACTATCTACCTGTATTCCATGATGTCACATCATATACATCAAATATCTAGAATACTATTTATTTTTATTTATTATTTTTTTGGTAGCAGGGATAGAACTCAGGACCTTGCGCTTGTGAGGCAGGCGGTGGAACCACTGAGCTAAATTCCTGGCCCCTAGAATATTATTTATTTTTAAAAACAAGAAAGTATTAATTAACAAAGAAAGTATGTGCATTTTTCCTAGCACATGTTTAATTAAGTAGATCTAGTTAACTTATTTGTATGGAAATCAGACATTTTATGTTTTTGAAGATTTGAAAAATTAGAGGGAACATGTTTTACATTATATATTTGATACAGTTCTGTGACACATTAAGATCCTCAACAGTTCAGTGACAACTTCATTGTCAATGATATTCTGTTGTAAATAAATTAACATTGTCCTCAAACTGGAGAGGATCTTGCTAACCAATGGTTTTTCTGACAGGTCAATGGTATCTACTGAAGCCTGAGTACTGTACAGTTGTACTTCCTTATAACACACTTTTCTAGGAAGAAGTTTGTAGTGGCTTGGTGTGGGCACTGGGGACAGCTCAGTTACTGAAGCATCAAGATGTAGGGTGAAGGGACTTCATGTCTATGTCCTTGAAAAACTTGCACATTGAAGCCCCACACACAGTGGGATGGTAATGGCGTCAGTACTCTTAGGAGGTAACTGGGACAGGAGCTCTCAGGAGGGGCCGTGTCCTTACGAGAGGAAGATTGCCAGCTCTCTACCAAGTCGCTCCCAGCTGCCTGTAGATCAGGAGGAGGGTCCTCACCTGACCCTGACTAGGCTGGCAACCCGATCTGGACTTCCAGCCTCCAGAACTATAAGAAATGCAGGTTTGCTGCTTAAGCCCCCTGGTCTGTGGTGCTGTGTTAGAGTAACCTGAATTCACTATGACACAGCGTGACTATAAGCAGAAGTGAATTATATAAAATAAAGTAATAACAATAGAGACAGTAATAGTGATGGCAAAACCAAGTAACAGTTACTGACCTGTTGTGTGTGTCAGGTCTGGTCTGTTAGTTTTATATGTTAATGTAATTTATTCTAATAACAACCTCCTGAGGATTATTGCCTTATTTCATAGATAAGGAAATTGGGATACAGAGGCTACCAAAAATCACTGTTTAGTAGGACCACTGGGATTACGACAAAGACTGAGGCTATGAAGAAGAAAATGCTCCCGAGGGTTGGGGATTTAGCTCAGCGGCACAGAGCCTGCCTGGCAAGCGGGAGGTCCTGAGTTTGATCTTCAGTACAAAAAAAAAAAAAATGCTCCCCAGTCTGTTAGGACTAGGTCACAGAATTACTATAGTATGAATTCTATACATAGAATTATGTGCAAATGAGAAATATTCTGTGTGGTAAGGTGGGTCTCCTAGGAGGTCTGATGAAACAGTAACAGAGTAATTACAGAAGTGACTCCCAGGGCTTCATGAATTGAGTGGCAAGGGTAGAAAGGAATTGTCTCTATGCTACATGATAATCCTAGTGGGTTATTCAAGCTTGTTTTGTGTAGAAATACAATAAAGCTGAATTAACTGCAAAGGTGTGAAAATGAACGAAAAGACAATTGAAGGAAAAAAAGCCCATGGTGGTAGGTTAACAATTGAGACCCCACCTCATATTCTTTCTGCTAAAAGGGTGCTAACATAGGAACAGCTGAAAGGTGTCTGGCAGTAAGACTGGATCCTCCGATGTCTGTCCTTATGCAGGCACTTATCCTATAAATGCTGTGCTGCTAGTGGAAATAATAAAATAACTCCAATATGTCAGGTTCCATCTGTAGGGTGAGTGAACAGATACAGCTGGAATTTGAACCCAGGTACTCTAATTCTAAAACTCCTATTTTCTTAACCACTAAGCTGTTTTCTTTCATGATTCTACTGTATGTGTTAGAAGTATCCTCCTCCACTCTAGGAAGCCTAGATACTTGTTGAAAATGTTTTCCTCCCAGTCAGATGTCCTTAACTGCATGGAGTTTGGTGACCATCTTCACTCCAGTCTGAGACACCAATGTGGCAATGACCTCTGCTGAATTTAAGGACAAATTGATGCTAAATGAAAATCCCTGCCTAAAGGAAATCCAAGAGGACTTTGTGTTGCCAAATTTTGAATCTAAACAGCATCCCAAACCAAAGCTCTGCTCTCACATTCCTGCCTTTTCACCTCCACTTTCAATTACCTTGAGAATGTTACAATAAATGTTTCTCTCTTTGCAAAGTTCAGGACAACCCTAAGGACCTTGCTAAGGCTGTAACCTTGGAAGCTTCTCTTGAAAACAAAATCAAATATAGATACCTATACTGTTTATCTGGGCAGATCTGATCAGAAGCAATTGTAGCCCAACCAGAGAGAGTAAGAGACTTGACTCTGCCTGAGCATATTTATTAAAGTACCAATTTGTACATTTGTGTGTGAACAAATGGGAGTGAAACATCTGGTGACATCTGAGACGGTCTCATTCAAAAGTACAGGGCACTGAATTGATCTATCTCCCTTTTGCAAAGCTCATCTAATAAGCAGAATATTTGTTAGGTATGTCTGACATTGAAGTAGCTGGAGGACAGAACCAGACATTACTGGGTTCCCAGAGCCCTCTTTTTCCACTGAGGAAGAGAAAGGGTCACTACAGTAGAATTCTGAGAATTCATAATTACATTATCTGTAACACATATTTAAAAAACTGAACACCAGCCAGGTGTGGTGGGCACACCTGTAATCCTAGCGCTCTGGGAGGCTGTAGGAGGAGGATCACAAGTTCAAGAGCACCCTGGGCAACTTAGCAATTGAGACTCTGTCTCAAAATAAAACAGGGCTAGAAATGTAGCTCAGTGCAAAGGCCCTGGGTTCAATCCCCAGTACTGCCCAAAGAAAAATAATTGAAACACTTATATCTTTCTAGGGATTAAACTTGCTATGAGATTTCAAAAGTCAGTAAGCTTAAAATTAATTCTATTCAGCCTGAAAAACAACTGCAGTAAAAATAAAACCAGGCACAATGTTTATGGATTATGGCTAAATCCTTTTTTCAATGTCTTAATGATCACCCGAGCATGAGGAGAAGTATAAAAGTTGGGCATCATTTGCTTAGTTGATGTTGGATACCAGCTGTGTGCACTGTGATGCGTTCTTGGGGAACTGAACTGACCAGGGGAGTGATGGCCGTGTAAGTTCTCCAACATCATTCTGGTGCTCTACACTCCAGTGCTCTAAGAGAGGCAGGATAGATGCTTGCCCAGTGGATTTTTAGGATAACCTTCATTGGAAACACAAAGCTCTTAAAACCCAAGTTGCCTCCTCTGTATAGGGAGTACCATAAAGCTATGTTGGTGTATGATTTAATGACTCAATGTAAAGTGAAAGAATGCGGAAGGCCTATGAAAGCAAGGGAAGTGTGGTCAGACTCATTAAATATGGTGACCACTTGATACACTCCCAATTTTCTAGTTCAGATTACAGCAATTATGTCCCATCTGATAATCTTCTGCCAAAGAGATAATCATTCATTACTAGGAAAATTAGCGACCCTCCTCAATTTCCCACTGGAATCGTCTAAAGAAAAAAAAAGTCCACATTTTCTTCTAAGGGTTGTAGCATGTATAGAGGAGGGTATTTGCAAACTCCTAAACAAATATGTGTGCTCATTAGGTATTTCCACTTGCCAGGGTTTCCCTCCAGCTGAATCAATGATATTCCTGGAGGGCAGATAGAGATCAGAACAGAGAGGAGAACTTAAGGCTTGTTGGATGTTTTTAATTCACAACAGACACAAAGATTGGAAGCAAAGAGCTTCTGATATGCAAGAGCTAGGCAGTTCAGAGAAAAATGGGTTTTGCTTTGAATTCCAAGAAAATGACTTACTCTGAGTTGGGCAGTTACAAGTTTGGAGAGGAGCTCGAGGTTCAAATTTGACAGGGTGGGTGACAGGTCTTCCCCAGAGAGCACAAGGAAACATACAGTAGAACAGAGCATACCCTGATTCTGAAGTACAGCACAGAGGCCACACGACTCCTATAGCTCATTCTTGCAGTGTGAGCCATGAGGCAGGTCAGAGAAGAGCTGGGGAGGTGGGTTATGTTTGGAGGAGTGGGAGGCTGCCAAGCCGTGCAGTTCCTCTCATTCTGGTGGGGTATGGGGAAGGCAGCAACATTGCCTATATCCTCACCTTGGAGCATGAAATTGCTAGAAAGGCCTGAGGTCTGGATGGGGGTGTACACAGCAGAGGCCTTCCAGCCTGAGGCCAAAGCATGGTTGAAGGTGGCCAGTGCAAGGTCAACAGTCACTTGGATCAGGTGCAACTCTGAACCTGCCAGTTCATGTGGAGAAGAGCAAGAGGGCAAACACTCTGCCTCAGAGACTCACCTTGGAAGAAATGACATCTTACATTTGAAGAAACTAAATTACTTAAAATGTGCAAGATTAAGTCCTCCCTCACCTCAATACACACAATAGCCTCTGCGGCAGAGAGCAAACTTACAGGAATATGGGGAACCTGAAGTCACTTCTATTTCTGTATAACTGGGTTGTGACCACAGATGCTAATCCTATTATGTGTACAATGAATAAATTAAACATGGATAAAGAATCCTGTTATACTGGATGTTAAATTTGTAATCAGGTTTGTCTCTCTTTTTCTCCCTCTTTCTATCTCTGCCCCTCTTTTTAGTGCCAGTCACTTTTCCCTGTTCCTTCCTTTACCCCAGAGGTCCCCTCCAGGTCCTTTTATGACAAGATGCCACTGCCATGGGCTGGACTGCTGTGTCCAAGGCAGGAAGCACATTGAATCAATCTTTCCATCATCCTCCATTATCAACACTGACCTACAAACTTCTGCTTCTCAAGGCACAAGCCTCATTCCTCAAGTGTCTGAGAATCAATCTGCTTCTCTAACTTAATGACCCATAGCACCACAACTCCATAATCAGGCAGCCTGACCTGCTGACAACAGAAGTCTTGGTGTCACTGGCAGTACACAAGGTGACTTTATTCTCTTCATTTTAACAAATTATATGTACCATTTATGAAGACTTTCTGGCTATAAGGAATGATACTGAAATTCTGTTTATAAAAAATATGAAGTATCTGTTGTGTAAATTTAAGTGAAACTTTAGTTTCTGGGATATAACTGGTACAGCACAGTATAAGTGGACAAGTATGGCAAATCTTGACATTGATAACACAAATTGCCAAGGCCTGAGTCAGAATGCTATACAGGAATGCATTTTCAGGGGTGAAATTTTTAGTCTTGTGGCAGGTAAAATGGAAAGGTCCTGGGCATGAGGGACCCTCCTGTGCAAATCACAGCTGGCAGGTAGCTCCACATTTTCCCACAGCAATCCCTGGGCATGTTCAGAAGTCATGTTCTCTTCTGTGCTGTACCCCCAGAGGATGCAGTGACAGGAAAATGTGCAATGTGTACATGTTCAAAAGACTGGAAGGAATCAACAAGCGTGTCTGGAAAACACAGCTAAACGAAAAAAGAAATCTCCGTGAAAGACGAGAAAGTGGGAAATAACTCTAACTCGAGGCAGAGTTAGAATTACTGCTGGCTGCAACGAGAGTGTCCTCAGTAGGGGTCACCGGGTCCTCTGGAGGTCTGGCCTCCTGCACTAAGTCACAGGGGTAAAAGAAAGAGAACGGAACCAAAGTGGAGGAAGTTCTAGCCCTGTAGGCACAGTGTGACGAGCTGTTTCCACTAGATATTTGGGCCACTTACCTACTATCTTCAGGCTGCCCAGCTAATACTCAGGAATAATGATTTCTCCCCTACCCCTCACTGACTGGGATCTGCAGAAGGGCCTCAGAGTATAATAGATACATTATGTCTTAATGTAGAACCCTCCCTAATAACCCATGATTCTTACATTTCACCCAACCTTATATGGGAAAAACATAAACAGGAGCTGGGAGGTAGGTTTTCAGTGCTGACAGTGACAAAGCATCAACATACAATCACAGAACAAAAAGACAGCTGGGACAAGTGTGTCCTCAGATGACTTTCAAGTAAGCACACCAGCTAGTTCTTAAGCACTGAGGACCATTCCTGAGATGTTAAAGACAATCACAGGCTGAACTCCCAAAAGTTATGAATAAGTTAAATGTTTTTATAAATAGAGGTATTAGCAGTGGTGTCATCCAGGGCAAAACTGCTTAAAATACATAGAAATAGGGCCGGGGATTTAGCTCAGTGGTTCCGGCACCTGCCTTGCAAGAGCAAGGTCCCGAGTTCGATCCCCGGTACCAAAAAAACCCCCCATAGAAATAACCTAGAACCAGTAGTATATAGTTTCCCTATGTAAAACATGACTGAGGAAAGTATGAAAAGATGCCACAACAGAAAGAGAAAATGATGGCAGATGAGATTATTGTTATTACTAGGCACTTAATGTGTGTTTTTTTACTTCAATGTACCATTTCGTTCCCACTATAGCATAATAAAAATCTCTATTATGATTCTTCCCATTTTATAGATTAGTGAATGGAGACTTGGGTTAAATAACTTGTGCAAGCTACTAAGTGCCAGATAGAGAATATAAATGCATGCAGCGTGACCACCAGACACACTAGCCCACACCCTCATCAGTCAGCTGCTGGAGCAAAGGAGCAGAGTCCAGTAAGAACATATGAGGGCAAACATGTGAGGCCTTACCAAGGGCCAAACCTTACAGGGAACTATCTACCATCTCATTTAACCCTCACCCAACCTTATGGAGTAAGCATGATTATTATCTCAGATTTACAGATGAGGAGGCTGGAGTAAACAAAGACATTGGTCCCCAGAAGGAACTTCCTGGTCATTTACAGCAGTGTTTCTCAGCCTTTTTTCCTTGTCACCTTTCCCCCTGCAGCTGCTCTTTTTGCCTAATCACTACTAAGGAAATTTTAGAACCACAAGAGATTGTGTACTCAGCTACAGACTGCATATATGTCTCTGCTTTCTACATAAAACAGTAAGATTTGCTTACTAACCTCCTGAGAGCCAAATTTTGTCCCCACTGAAAATGCACAGCCCACAGGTGAGTGGATCTTTATGTGACCTATCTGTTATGATCCAGGAAAAGTGTTTCATTTATTTATTTTTCATTCATTTAATCCTTCAGAATGTATTGGGTGAAAGAGAAAAGATACAAAAGAATATAATATTATGTGATTCCATTTATCTGAAGTTCAATAGCAAACAAAAGGAATGCATGCTGTAGGAATCGGAACAGTGGCTGCACCTGGAGGAAGGGAACTGATAGGAAGTGAGGTGCAAAGAAAATTTTTGGCATGATTGTTTTTAATCTTGATCTAGGTGATGGCTACATGTATATATCTTTCTGTCTAAATTTGCACTTGAGAAATATGCATCTACTGTGTATACAAATTGCATCCCAGTAAAGTATAGTTTTTGTTTTTGTGTTTTTGTCTTGTTTTGTTTTGTTTGGGGCCTGGGGACTGAACCCGGGGACTGAAACCAGGGCCTCACACATGTTAGGTAAGGGCTCTGTCACTGAGGTACAGCCTTGCCCCTAAAGTACAGTTTTAAGGAAAGTATTTCCTACATGTGCCAGCCTGGGGAATTTAAATTGTTCCCTAAAGATCTTAACATGCTGGTGGATCCAAACCCCAACCATATGCTTTATGTTATCATGCAAGGTCAGGAAAAATGAGCCAATACTTTATCTGACTTGCCAATGTCTATCTGGATTCCATACCCTGCTCTTAGGATCTAATTGTCAGAAGAGAAGAAAAAGCCTAATGAGTCCATAAAAGACTGACAAGATCAAACAGCTTCCACATGAGGACAGACCTTAAAATTAAGGCCTCTGAGGTCTATAAAATGGTTGCTGGGAAGAGGCAACAAGGTCTGTAAATTCACGGAGAGGGAGAAGCCAGAGAAAGCCTTTCCCAGACTAGGAGGGCATTCATTTCTCTTGACACCAGTCCACATGCTGCTCTGTGACACTGCCCACACTTGGCACTGAATGGTTCTTTGCAGAGGCCCTGTTATTTTGCTTTCCACATCCTTATGTCATTTTCCCAACTAGATAAGAAATGGCCTGTGGTCAGGATGTGTTTTACACTAGCTCACTGCCCTCAGTAGCTGTGCATAGCACCTTACAATCAGAACCCTGGGGTTGTGAAGCTACAAAAGTATGATTTTTAAACTACATATTGGCACTAGGATTTTAAAAATGCATCTATGTGCTATTTGTGTAAGGAAGAACCTGCCTAAAGGACATAATCCAGATAATAATCTACTGGAATTTCTAAGACATTGTAAGATTTAGCAGCATGAAAGGAAAATTACTTATGATCTATGCCTTCTAGGAAATCCAGGATGTGAAGGCAGAGCAACTCTGAAGCTGCTTTTGTCAAAAGCCTCATTATATCTGCAGGAGCATGTGACACCAGAAGAGGAGAGAAATTTGATGGGATCTGCTTGTGGGGAAACTAGAAAGAAGATCAGCTAAACAAATTTGTTTTTTGAAAATGTTCATCCTCAGAATTGGATAAAGAAAGAAGTTACAGAATCATGCTAAGCACCTGTCAGGTGTTCTGCCATGCACAGTGTAAACACTATGTCATTCAATCCTTGCAGTAACCATGGAGGTAGGTGACATTACCATACCAATTCTATAGAAATTAAAAAGGTTAATAAATGCCTAATTTAGGGTAGTGGTATTGGAAACTGAAGCATTTTCATGTTCAACACTACCTGCTCTTCCTATGTGTCCCCTAAACCATCAGTGTCCCTGCACATGGGTGCCCCTGCCTTGTACAAATGGGGAAAAGAGGTGCAGAAGTAGGTGGCAGAGCTGGAGTTGGAACAGAGACATGCATGAATGTCTTCACAATATTCATTCTTAATCAGGCCCACTTCTTGTGTGGATCTGTAGAAAGCTTAGGTAATAAAGTCTTAGCAAGTGCCAAGACAGGAGAAGGGTACCTGAGTTTGTACTTGGCCAAGCAAGGGCAGCTGTACCAAAATGGACCTAAGAACCAGATTCAGAGCAGAGCCCCCGGCAAGGGCTGCCAGTTCTCAAAGTAGAGAACAACTAAGTGGCCAATGTAAGCTGTCTCAGCCCCTGTTCCCCTTTCTGGAACTTACCTGCACTGTTTCCACCGTGTAGATTTTCTTCAGATTTGAGGCACACTCTGCTGCTGTGGCACCAGGGAGAGATCTAAGAAAACATCCGCAAAAGAACAAAGATGCAAACAAAAACAGTCAGTGTTCATAAGATAGTCAACAATATGACCTTGCAGATCTTAGTAAAAATCAGTTCTTAGATGACAGAATTGAACATTTAGGGAATGACAGTTAGAATTTAAAATAAGAAAGTGGAGTCACGCGGAAGACGCCAAATCAGCCCACTGCAGACACGCAGGTCTGCGAACACCCTACCGAGGTCCCGAGTCACATGGAAGACGCCGAATCAGCCCGTGCCCCGGCAACAATCTACTGGATCCCCCCACCCCCCGCTCCTCTGTACAGCCACCTGGTTCAACACTACAAAGACGCAGAGGACACTGGACCACCAGACCATGGTACTGAGTCCCACTGCTCCCGGCCCAGAGGTAGGGGCTTCTGAGCCGCCATCCCACTGCTCCTGGTCCAGAGTAAGGGGTTTCCCGGCCACCATCCCTCCTGCTGCTCCCAGCCCAGAGGAAAGGGCTTTTGGGCCACCTTCTGTCCCACTGCTC